TACAGGAAACACATACCAACTTCCTCCGAAATTTTACTGTCTTCCGGAAGGACCGCCCAAATGCTACCATTTCATCTGGAGGAGTAGCGATAGTGGTTCCAAGGCTGGCTGCTTGTACGGCCACACCCTTACACACTCCTTTAGAAGCAGTGGCAGTGCGTGTTCTAGTACATAAAGCCATTTCTGTTTGTTCACTATATTTATCACCCTCACAAGCAACAAACAGAAATGTGAACAAACATTTCTGTTTGTTCACTATATTTATCACCCTCACCAGTGCAGAACTTCACTCTCTTTTAGATCAACTTCCAAAGCCCTTTCTTTTGATGGGGGATTTTAATGCCCACAATACCCTTTGGGGTGGGAATCGAACTGATGTTCGTGGGAAAATAATCGAATCAGTTTTAACTTCTCGAAGCCTTTGTCTTTTTAATACTGGTACGTCAACTTATTTTAGCACCTCATCCTTATCATCGACCTCCATCGACCTCTCCATTGGTAGTGCCTCGTTGCTGCCTGACTTTTCATGGAGTGTAGATCAGAATCCCTATGGTAGCGATCACTTTCCCATTGTTTTAAAAAGCACAGTCTCTTTTAAGTCATTACAAACTCGAACTCCACGTTGGAAGTTAGAAAAGGCTGACTGGGCCACTTTTAAAAAGGAGTCAGAGTTGCATCCAGATACATTAGTTAGCTTAGATGACAATGAAGCCTGTGAAGTCCTGACTAATGTAATTGTCCAAGCAGCACAGCGCTCTATTCCAAAAACGACAGGACGCTTACCATCAAAACCAAAGCCTTGGTGGAATGAGGAGTGTAGCCTAGCTCGTAAGCGGCAAAACTGTGCATGGACAATAGTGCGCCGTTACCCAACAGTTGAAAATGTCATTAATTTTAAAAAGCTACGTGCTAAGGCCCGCTGTGTAAGGCGCCAATCAAAAAAAACCACCTGGATGTCGTATACGTCCTCAGTCAACAGTTCCACAGGTGTAAAAGTCGTATGGGACAGGGTCCATAGAATTAGAGGGGATTACCGTGCATTTACTATCCCTCTCTTTACACTAGATGGTAGTCGTGTTCCCGCACTAGAACAGCAGGCAAATATTCTTGGGGAACACTTCATGTCTGTCTCGGGATCTGAGCATTATTCAGACACATTTCTAAAATACAAGGCTGCCAAAGAAAAAGTACCAATAAAATGTACCGGTGGTTCTAACGAGGCTTATAATCAACCATTTACCCTTGTGGAACTAATGATTGCCCTTGACAAGGGAAGGAACTCGTCCCCAGGGCCAGACCTTATTCATTACAGTATGCTTCAGCATTTACATCCTGCAACATTAGATACCATCCTGTTGTTTTTTAACTCTATATGGAGCAGTGGAGCTTATCCCATTCTCTGGAAAAGGGCAATTGTGATTCCTTTGCTAAAGTCTGGAAAGGATCCATCATTACCCTCCAGCTACAGACCAATCGCACTAACCAGTTCTCTGGGAAAAACGTTTGAACGAATGGTGACCTCCAGATTGGTGTATTTTTTAGAACAGGAAAACTTCTTCGACAAATTTCAATGTGGGTATCGGACAGGGCGATCAACTGTTGATCACCTTGTTCGCCTAGAAAAAACAGTCAGGGATGCCTTTGTTAACCCTTATTCGGGCAGTCATACAAAAATGGAACTAAAATTATATCACAATCAGTATTTCCTTAAGGGGGGATACGGCCTCGAAATTCCGATTTTTTTCGAAAAAATACGTTTCTAAAAAAAGTTTATTTTCGGTTCATTAACTTTCGAAGCATAGTGTCAAGAAGTTTCATTTAGAAATATGCAGGATTTATTTCACAAAAAAATATTTTCAGCCCGGTCGCGAGCACGCGCGATGCCCCGCTGAGCGAGGCCACGGCAAAATGCGGCGTTTTCAAACTAAGCCTACTCCGCGCTCGTTCGACGCGGGCGAATCATTTTACCCTCGTTGGAAGCGCCATTTCTTCTAGTTTTTGCCGTGAAAAGCTTTCTGCGTTAGAGGGTTTTTGTGGTCTGGGAGAGCCCAAACATCGAAGCAGAAAAAACAGAAAAAAGACGCTCCTAATATGCTACGCTTGATTTCATTGGTTGAAAACCGAAACAGGCCTCGCGATTGGCCGCGGTGGTGACGTCACAGTTCGTTTTTTCGGTTTGTTCGCTTTCGTCAGCTAGCTCCGCTCCTGATCGTATCGCTACTCCGCCGCTCCGGCCGCTCTTTCGTTTTACCTTTGTTTGCGTTGGTTTTTCTACCGAGGAATGCCTGCCACGAAAGCGAGCACTCGCGGTAGCTTTGGCCGAGGTTCACGATCTCGAAAACGAAGAGGCTTGACAAGAGGACGCCCCCGAAAAAGTGCCGACCCGCTGCCACTGCCGTCACCATCCCTGTCGTCGCGAGCTTCGAGTTTGTCTGGCTCAACTAGCCCTCACGCGTCGGAGTCTATAGCTTCAACGTCAAATGCTGAGGATGTTCCGGTCTCTGTGGAGTGCCTGCTGACAACGTTCGAGAGAAAGCTCGAACTGCTCAAGTGCGAAGAGGACGACGCGGAGATGGCGGACGCTCCCACTGAAGAGCCTCTGGATGGTTATCGCCTAATTAATGTGTCGGCCGTGCAAGGACTAATCGACGCTCTACTGTGTCCAAAGTGCCATGGAGGGGAGCTCAGCTTGCAAGAAAGAGGAACTGGTGCCGATCTTCTGTTTGTTGTTCGATGCTCGTCCTGCGGAGACATCGTCGCGGCACCGCACTCGCCACCGATTGGCAAGTCGCGACAGAACGAACTCGTGATGCGACTTGGAGTCGTCGGGAGAGACTGCGGAATTAGCTTTACGAAGCTCTCGAATCTCTTTGGGGGACTAAATGCTCCGCCCCCAATGCACGTGAAGTCCTATCAGAAGGTTGCGGGAAAAGTGCACGATGCCGCGATGCTGGCGGCGACCCAAGTAATGGAGGAGGCTGCGCGAGCTGTCAGAAAAGCGCAGGCAACGGAGGGCACGAGCGCCGAGAGCGATCTTCTGGATGTGTGCATCAGCTACGACGGAACGTGGCACAAACGTGGACACACGTCACAGTTCGGAGTCGGTGTCGCAATTGAGCTAGAGACCGGCTTTGTGATCGACTTCGCAGTGCAAAGCAAGTACTGTCATGGGTGCCAGCTGGGCCCCAAGGAAGGTACCGAAGGCTTCGAGGAGTGGGCAGACACGCATCGGAAGACCTGCCAAAAGAACTATGAGGGTTCATCAAATGCTATGGAGGTACAAGCTGCAGCAACCATCTTCAGTCGGTCTGTCGAGAGGCATAACATGCAATATGTCACTGTCCTGTGCGACGGCGACAGCAAGGCGTTTACGCACGTAGCTGGTCTCGAACTGTACGACAAAGAAATACACAAAGAAGACTGTGTGAACCATGTGGCCAAGCGAATGTATGCAGGCATGGAAAAGCTCAAGAAGACTAAAAAAGGGCTCGGCGGAAAAGGAAAACTCACTAATGTGGTGATGAAGAAGCTGACAAGCTACTATGCATGCGCTATAAAGGACAACGCTCCCGACGTCCCCAAGATGCAGAAAGCTGTCTTCGCCAGCCTCCTGCATAGCTATTCCACAGACCAGGAGCCCCGTCACAATGCCTGTCCACAGAGCGAGGATTCATGGTGTCACTATAACCGCCACAAGGCTCTGGAGGCAGCAGGCAGGCCTTCAGCACCACGACCCCACCGACCAGCCTTCCCGAAGGATGTCGCCAAGGAGATTGTTCCGATCTACAACAGGCTGACGCAGCGGGAATTGCTCATTCGATGCTCCCGCATGAAAACGCAGAATGCAAACGAGAGCTTCAATGCCCTCATCTGGAAGCGCTGTCCCAAAACAGAATTTGCCTCGCTGCAAACTGTGGAGACGGCTGTTGCTTTAGCCGTGCTTGAGTTTAATCTCGGTCCTAGAGGTTTTGAAAGGGTACTCAAGGAGATGAACATTGCTCCTGGAAGCCACCAGGCGAAGCATGCCTCCAAGGCAACTCTGGGCAAGATTTCCAAGGCGAAGGTCAGGGCACTCGACACGTCAAAGATGGCCCACAAGCGACGCAAGCTGGAAGCTATTGTCCGGGAACAGCGCAGCCTGGATGGCGAGGGTGCCACCTATGCTCCAGGAGGATTCTAAGCTCCTGGGACCCATCGAAAATAAAGAAACCTCAAGTTGAAACTTCAAATGCATTTTTCTCAGTTTCACTTTTTGGCACGAATTGTCACCTTAGGAAATGTATCATTTGACACTTTCAATATGGAAAGACTTTCTTTAGAGTCCTCCTGGGCTGGAATTTTGTGGGGAACAAGATAAGGTATTTTTTATTTTAATAAACTCACTCCTTCATTATAAAAACAAAGTATTTCTGAAACACAAAAAATTTTAAAATTATTGTTTCTGTTGTTAGGTGTGTTTTTTCCCTTAGAATTGCAGCTTTTATAATTGATTTTTACCTTAACTTGCAGCATGTGCATTGTACTTCACATTAAAGCAAGAATTTCTTAAATTCCAGTTATATTTTTTCAACGATACATTTCCTAACGAGGTCCCTTTAAATCTGGAATTTGAGGAAATTAGTATGTCAGAAAATTGGTCTATAATGCTGAAACTTGGCAGGTTATCCTTTCTCACAGTGTTCAATTTACCCTGCAAATTTCAATTGATTTGAATAAAGGGTTAAAAAGTTGACCCTCCCAGGCCATATCCCCCCTTAAGGAACCAATTGAAGCACCAAAACATTTTTTTTTGTGGCATTTTATTTCACATTTAAGAGATAGGATATGTATCTCCCAGTGCACACTGCCCGTTACGGGATAACAAAATGTTGAATATTTGAAACAAGAATTCCTTCTTGTGGTACAACCTGAAGCAGTTTCTTGGAGACTTTCCCGTCACTATGCAAAGCCTAACTTTGCAATTTTCACAGGCAATTGATGTTTGGCCGCTTGGGCAGTACCTGCAGCGACCTTTGCCTTCCAGTGTTGGTAGGTGACCCACACCGTCGTAGCAGACATCGGTGACAGGTGCTGCCGTGGTCTGCAATCTTGGGCGCTGCGCCGCAGGTTCTTCATCGAGGGTGGAAGAAGGTCTCCCTCTTTTCGGGGGGCTTGCATGCATCAAAGCTTCTGAAACAGCTAGTCGAAATTGTTTCAGTCGCATTGCCTTCACGCCAGTGAGGTTTGACTGTCGTCGGTGTAGTAGCCAATCGTTGTTCACGGATATATCGAGAAGCTGGCTGAAGATGCCTAAGTACCATTGCTTTGTGCGGAAAGGGGTGCGATAAAGCGCTGCGTACATGTCTGCAAGGTCAACACCGCCCATGTGAATGTTGTACTGTTTCACAATTTGTGGGCAAGAAACTGGAATCTTTTGACGCTCCTTCTTGTCGAACCTGTTCGCTGTTTCCACTGGGTCTTGTGAGACACAGGAGCTTGCAAGTATTACAGTCTTGTTGTCAGCCCATTTCACGACTGCAAGTCCTGCCACATTGTCCACCTTGTAGTCAAAGCTGCCTCTTCCATCCTTCAGCAGTGACTTGTCATCCTTTTGGGAGCAGCCTTGAAGCCTGTTGCTTCGAATGGTGCCGAGACTGTGTAAAGAATACCTTTCTTTCAGTCGTGAGATCAGTTCCAGCGAGGTGAAGAAATTATCAAAGTAGACGATGCTCTCATTTGGACGAGAAATGCTCTCGCACAAGTGCAACACAACCTTTGCGCCGAGACCAAGCGCCTCATCCTCTTCTGCAAGTCTGATACCTTCGAATGTCGTTGCGCCGGTGTACAGAATGAAGTCATGAACCATCCCAGAAACACCCGCACGTACAAACAGTTTGAAGCCCCCCTTTTTAGGTTTTTTGGGGAGGTACTGCCTCAGGTTCCCCGCTTTTTTACCCTTGTACGGGATCATCATCTCATCAATGGAGAAGAGATTTTCGCACTCTGTGGCCTTGCATTTGCTCCGAATGTGCTCAAGCACAGGTTTTATCTTGTAGGCTCTGTCAGTTTCAACTGGCTGGAGGTTATCAATAAAATAAATGAACCTTCGGAGCTTCTTGAACCGTTTTACAGGCATCACATTGGCGATCTTGTCACATCTTGTTTGATTGGCCCAGTAGTCTTCAAACGAAGGCATCCCGATGACGCCCATCATAAGAAGAATTCCGATGAAGGACCTTAACTCTGCAACGTTCGTGTTGATTGAGCTTCCGGTCTGTTGAGTGGAATACAGATTTGTCTCGTAAACCACCTTCTCAATGAACTCATCGCCAAAATGCATCTGAAAATACTGCAGTGGAGTGAGATCTTCCGGTGCAAGCTCAAACTGCGGTTTTGGAGCGCGGAAGTCGTGGTCGAAACTTGTCTTTCTCCATTTGTACTTGTCAGCTTGTTTCGACGAGGCGGCGTTCTTTGGCAATTCAGCTTCCTCTTCCGAGAGGGATTCTTCTACTTCCAAGCTTCTACTCCTTGCCTTGAAGCTGGTGTCATCATTGTCCGTGTCCGTTTCATCATCGCTTGATGAGTCGACGTCGGATATTCCACCTTCAGGAGGGATCACTGTGGCTCTCTTTCTCAATCGTGAACCATAAAATGTCCTTGCAGTTAGCTCCTGCACAAAACAAAAATTAAAAAAAAACATTGGAAAAACGTATACAAAACAGTGGAACGAATACCCCAAACGTGCAGTGTATCCTGTGAGATACACACAGATTATCACCTTGCTTTGCATAACTGGATCGGGGTATTCGATTAAAAATACATCACCAAAGTCTTTGCACACTTTCGTTTAAAATCGCAACGTTAAATTTTGATTACCGTTTCAACGTTTAGAGTACAAAGTAGTACTTGCCGTGGACACGTGGACGCCAGCACTGGTTGACGCCATGTTCTGTCACTCATGAAGAAACACTTGCTGTAGGCTCCGGGTGGTGGCGCTAGGTGTCTCGGCCGCCGCGGAGGATGTGTCCCATGAGATACATTGCCCATTTGAGGGAGTATATATTTACAGTGATTTTTATTTGTGCGTTTTAAGTCTGTATCCCCGGAGATACAATAAACGAAAGAGGGTTAACAGACAACATTGTTTATCGGTGTTTTTCGATATTGAGAAAACATATGATACCACATGGCGGTACGGAATTTTAAGTGATTTAGTTTCAGCTGGAATTCGGGGGAAAATGCTAGCTCTTATCAAAAGCTTCCTCGATGAGCGCTCGTTCCAAGTGAGGTTGGGCACGACACTTTCTGAAACGTTTGTCCAAGAGAATGGTGTTCCCCAAGGGTCAGTGCTGAGTGTTATTCTGTTTCTGATCAAAATGAACTCTCTTAGACAGGTTCTTCTCCGATCTCTCTCCTATGCACTTTATGTTGATGATGTGCAAATTTCCTGCTCTTCGTGTAATTCAGCTATTTGTGAACGCCAAGTTCAACTAGGTATTAATGGAATGACACGTTGGGCAGATGAGAATGGTTTCCGTTTCTCAGCAGAGAAAACAGTCTGTGTTCTGTTTTCTCTTCGAAGGGGTATCATTATAGAACCCACTCTAACTTTGGGAGGTCAGACCCTAAACGTACGTCCTGAGCATAAATTTTTAGGGGTTATTTTTGATAAGAAACTTAGCTTCCGTAGTCACATCTTGCAACTAAAAATGAAATGCCTGCTAGCATTGAATATTTTAAAAGTTCTTTCTCACAAGTCCTGGGGTAGTGACAGAAGGTGCCTGCTGCGTTTGTATCAGTGCCTTGTTCGATCGAAATTAGATTATGGTTGCATGGTGTACGGCTCGGCACGGCCGTCTCTTCTTCAGGTCTTGGATCCTGTCCACCACCTTGGACTACGACTTGCAACGGGGGCTTTCCGGACCTCTCCAGTCCCCAGTCTCTACGCTGAATCTAATGAATGCTCTCTTGGAAAAAGACGTCTGTTCTTGGGCCTTCAATATCACTTAAGAGTTTGCTCCATGCCTCGACATCCTGCACTCGAAGTGTTTCTGGACACGCGGTATGAAAGAACGTACCAGAACAAACCCTCTGTTGTACCTCCCTTTCCTCTGCGCCTTAAATCTGAGGCCAAGAATTTTGCAATAGACTTATCGAGTCCGGTAGCAGCGTTGCCCAGCCCCGTTGCACCCTGGAACATCACATCTATTCCGATTAATTTTTCTCTTTTCAAGTATGACAAGAAGAAGGTACCAGCAGAAGATCTCAGGCAAGAGTTCTTACAAATCTCCGAAAACTACAAAAACTTTGTACAGTTCTACACGGATGGAACGAAGGGGAGCAGCAGTGTTGGATCTGCTGTAGTCGGGCCGTCATGCAATATTGTAACGCGGCTCAGCAACCAAGCCACCATCTTTTCTGCAGAGTTATATGCCCTACTGGTAGTTGTGGATACTATCATCAAAAGGAATATCAAGGCCGCCTTAATTTTCTCAGATTCTCTCAGTGCACTCCGTGCACTTGCATCCCTAGATCGATCAAAAGATGCTTTTATTCTGCAAATACGTAACAAGATTGTAGCTGCCACAAACTCCAACATCACCGTTAATTTCTGTTGGGTCCCTAGCCACGTCGGTATAGGCGGAAATGAGGAGGCCGATAAGGCTGCTAGAACATGTCAGAACATGGACACAGAGGTTACCTCCATCCATCCCATATCTCATTGAAAAAGTGGATTAAAAAGAAATGGCAGGAGGAATGGGACACTGAAGTCCATAATAAACTCCATTCCGTGAAACCTGTTCTTTCCGAGTGGGCCAGTTGCCGACATAACAAGCGTTTTTATGAAGTTGTTCTATGTCGCCTGAGAATTGGTCACACTCAACTCACACATGGCTTCCTTCTGCGAGCAGAGGATGCTCCAATGTGTGAAGAATGTGGTGAAACACTCTCCGTCTTGCACATTCTCATTCAATGTCCGAAATATCATGAAGAGCGTCGCACCAACTTTTCACGGTTTTTTAGAGAACAGATCCCATTCCACCCAGCCCTTTTGCTGGGAGAGGAGCCTCTTGTTCCTCATAACCAAGTTTTTAACTTCCTAAACAGCATTGGCCTATTACAGCACATCTAAGTGGATTTTCTTTGTATTGTTCACATTTTATGAAAGATTTTAAACTCTCATATTATGCCTCACCTTTAAATAGCACCGCAGTTTTTTCTTCTACCATTGTTCTGGCGCACTATGGCCTTAGCAGCCGCTGCGCCATTAAAACCCAAAATCAATCAATCGACAGAGCGGAAAGGTATGGTTTCGGTTTCGATCGAACAGCCGTCTCCGCTCGCGCGACGAAGCACGTGCTGCTGCATTCCTGCCATGCCTGCTGAAGTTGACTTCATGTGCATGCAAACATGATTGCACGACAGAAGCACCAGCCGGGACGCTGCGTTTAGTTTTGACAAAAATCTGGCACGTTGGGAATCAGTAAAAAGGTGGCAAGCGGTTTTTCAGATTTGCTCGGCAACACGTACAGCACTGTACACTTGTGAGATGTCTCAATGTCTCTTTGTAGACATTGAAAGTGGACATTGATTACTAGCCTAAGCCAAAGCCAAGCTTGCAGCAGCTTTGCAGAAACTTTCGCAAAGGAAAAAGTACCCGCTAGTTGTAATGCACCTTTTTCTTGTGTGCAATTTCGCATTGCACTGCAGTAGCTATGTGTTTCATCAGTCGGAGACTGCTTCCATTTATTATATTATATCACTAGTCAACCTAATGCTGTGATATTTACTACTAAGCTGGTCATTTTCAAATAAATTTTAATATGTGAAGTTTGGTTTTCAAATAAATTTTAATAAGTGAAGTTTGGTTCTTATCTATCCGTGGTGGGTAGATATATATGTATAATTTAACTGAAGCATTGCAAAATGTGTCATGTCATTGACATTTCAGTTACACCTTGAAAGACTCCTAGGTGGTCGAACTTAACCATAATTCGTTTATTTCGGCGAGCAAAGTACCGTTCGTTTGTCCAGCACCTGAAACAAATATTTTTATTTTTTTACGAATATCTGCTCCAAAAGCCACTTTTGCTGCTCTAAAACATTGTTTTTGCTGCTCCAAAGGCCACTTTTGCTGCTCCAAAGTCCACATTTGCTGCTCCAAAACACTGTTTTGGCTGCTCCAAAAGGTGCTCCAAAATGGCTTTGGCCAATCACATCACTGCGTTACTATTCTTGAGAACTACCCCCCCCCCCCTACACACACACGCCAAAAAAAAAAAAATTCGAACGCTCTTTTTTTTTAATTTTGAGGGCACCAGGATCAAGGAGATGCTGGGGCATTGTTACCATGCTGACCAAGGTTCCTTCCGATTCTCCAAACTATTTTTCTATGCGTCCTTCTCTCTTCTGAGAACTGTTGCGCAGTCGGGGACTTGAACCAGGTGGCGTGCCAGGAGTGGAGTCACAGCATCCTGTGCCGTAGGTACTTAGGTAGGGGTTTCTTGAGTCATTGTTTGGGGGCATCCAAAGCCCGCTGCTAACCGTCTCTCTTGCCTTAGCGTACACAGTGTACCCATCCGGCAAAGCTGAGTCACAGTCCGTTGCAGCACGAGCCTGGCGGTGGTTGACTTGAAATAGGATAACTCGCGCAGTGAAGTTCAACAGATATTCGAATGCGTCTGCGGCTGCGCCCGTAATATTGCACGGCTCAAGGGTACGTCATCAGCCGACGTGAAAGTGACCCGCTCCTCTGGTGATCCGAAACCCAGGAAGGCGGTCAGACGTGGCTTCGCTGTGCCGACCCAGACTTCGTACACCTGTGACTCGTCTCGAGCGTGCGCGGAGAGTTCGCACCTCTGCCGGCAATAGACCAGTGTCCGCGCCAATTCCAGGGCGCCGCCATGTTTATCTACGCTCGCGCCACCACGCGGAGAGAACTGGCAGGCAGGAGGGGGGGGCTGCGTTGGCGGCGTTGCTTTGGGGAGCTGGATGCGGCAGGCTGTCCGAATGCACCGGCACATAGTGAAAGATGTCTTCACCAGAAGCCTCCGCGGCCCGTTCTTCAACAGATAAGATGTCGTGAACATTCGAGAACCCATCTCGATCGAGAAAACAAGAGAAAACCTTTCTTGTCTTAAATGTTCTCGGTGTCTGCTGACCCTTGACATCCCCGTTTCAGTCCGGGTTCATTGCGGAGTAAATATCTCGCTGCCACTTTCTTGTAGCTTTCAAATGCTTGATTGTCGGCTTCTCGTATACGACATTACATTCGTGGCACGTTTGAGACTGATTTTCGCGATCTGCTTGCCTTTCTGCGGCAGCGCGGCTCTGCCGAGCCGAAATAAGTGGGAGGCGTTCACTTGATCAAACGCCGTTTTAGCGAATGAAAACGAGACCACGACGTTTCATCGAAGGACTAGCGCATGGGTCTAGTTCCATAGACAGCTCGGATTAGCTTTCTTTTGTAATGTGCCGCCTTGTCTGCCGCCGCGAAGCGGCGAAAACGAGGGCTCCGAGTGTGTTAGCACGCGTCCACCCCCCCCCCCCCCCCCACACACACACACACACACACGCTGCGAGCGTCTGGGTTCGAAACTATTAATTGCCAGTTCTAAAGGATGGTACTTACTTGAAGTGGGAGCTGGAATTCTACGAGGTACCAGGAGACACTAACTATCGGGAAACGAAGCAGGGTGCCTGTGGGGACGGAGTCTAGGAACGCTACTGATTAATATTGTGACAGGCGATCAGTTATGATAACAGACGAAACTTCGACTCGTTTGTTCAGAAGTTCGCGGTGATATTTTATTAGCCCTCGTTATAGCACACCAAGGATCTTAGACAGTGAAATTCACATCACGCAGGCTCGTCCGTCGTAGTCAAATGAGCGCAGTCGACGACGAAATGTAATGAGCTACTAAGCTTCACAAGGTAAATGCCCGC